GGCATGAGGCACGAGGCCTGAGTCTGTGTGTGGAACAGGACTTCCTGTTGCTGGACCTTGCATATCCTTTGGCCTGCACTTCCCAGGCGATTCGATAATCTCGTTTCCGTCGCCACAGGAAGTGGCATGCAACGGCCTTAAAGACCCATTAAGAGATGAACACATGACTCTTAGCTCTGAAAATGATTTCCAAGCAATTGTTTCCACCATCAATAACTCAACAGCTTTCAGAATATTAAAAGCGACCTGTTTTTCCATTAATCGTAGAGCGAGGGACAAAGAGAGAGTATATTTGCAAGAATTCCACACTTTTACTTGATAATCATTTAACACTTTTCCCACATCTGTACTCCTTCTTCCTTCAGATACAAAAAAAAAACCACGAAAGGAAAAAGCCCAAGCCAAAGGCAGCCACAATGCATACAAATGAACGGAGGAGCAGGACCAGGACGAGGACCAGAACCAGAACCAGGAGTCACGTAGCATAGAGGCGGAAGGATAGCCAGAGGAGGTTCTAATTAAGCCAAGACGGAGGCCGGGGCCTTGGGTTGTGGGTCCTAGGTCCCGGGTTCTGGGTCCTGGGTCCTGGGCCGGAATTAATGGAGCCAGCCGAGAGCCCAAGAGTGGAGCAAGCATTTTCGGTGTTCACACAAATTAAATTTCATCAAGTTTATTTGCTGTAAATGAGGCAACATCCAGCCGAGACGCCGCCCGACCGCCCGCATACTCCAGATGTCTCATAATTTAATTTGTGCCCCCCCCTTCCCAAAACCCCTTCCTTTTCGCCTGAGCTGAGAGCTAGCACGTGTTGCCATGTTACACTTTAAACGTTTCGACGAGAGGAAGAGAAAAAGAGAGAGGGAGAGCTCACACTCACACAGATACGATACACATTGAGGGCTACACAGAGATACTATTCGATAGATTTTTCCATGTAAATAGTCACTATAATTATTATAGTACACATAACTATGATTTCTGTTCTGCGGAAAAAAGAAACTAAAACTAAAACCCTAAAGCCCCTTAACGAAAATATCTACATTTAAAAAGGCAAACATTTATTACAAAATTTCATATTTGTACAACAAAAAATTATAACAGAAAAAGGGTAAGAGCGAACAACCGAAAGATGTGGGGAAACTGCTAAAAGAAAAATCTATTAATTAGTAATTATTATAATGTGATGTTATATATAAAAAATCAATCGCTAAAGCAAATTCGACAAAAAAAAAAAACAAAAAGACACAAAACAAAACAAACAAAAATAAGGAACGAAGAAGGTCAAGCGGTATAAAACAATTGTTAACCAACATAACAGAACTTTCATTAAGTAGATTTTTCGAATTACATTTAAAATATTAAATTAATTAACAAATAGAAAGAAACGAAAGAGGCGGGAACGGAATCACAATCCACATAAATTTGCTGTATACACGAAAAAAAAAAAATGCGTTTTTCTACTCAACAACCAATAAAACAAAAACAAAAACAAAAAATAAAAAAATTGATATGTAAAATGATTTTTCCAAAATTTAGAGATTAACCCCCTATAATCGTAACTATATAGTAAACCAATTTATATATATATATATATATTCTATGTAAATGTTGGAGAGCATCCTTATGTCGGATAATATTTCAGTTATTTGTGTGTGTGCTATATCTTCTATATACCTCTTTCTATGTCTATATCTATATAAATATGGAGGAGAGAACACGCTTGGCTTCGTCTAGCAACAGTTTTTGTGGGCCTTACTCAAGCCGAGGCCTTGTTCTTCTCCAGTCCCAAGCATTGTTCAGATATACTATACATATACATATATCCCCCCGCCCCCATAGAGAGTGAGGAGAGCTACATATAATCCCGTACCCCCTACAACTTATTGTATTTATTATCTATGTCTCTCTCTACATCGATGTGTTCGTTTCTAAACAAAACAAAAATAACTTGTATAGTCAAAGCACGCTCTCCTCTCTCCGCACTCGAGACACAACAAAATCTTTGTAAAATATTATACGAGCTAACGGATTGTACAATTGATAAGTGCAAGAGAGAGAGCGAGCAAGAGAGAGAGAGAGAGGGGGAGTAAAGGAGGTTTTAGATTTTCTACTTAAATCGCATTTCTTCCACTTTTCATCCAAGAATTAAATTTGGAGTATCTTCAGTCTCAAACAAGAACAGAGAGAAAATCCCCCAACAAATTGTAGGTTCTATTATTTAGTTTTCTTGTTATTTATACGTATGATTAAATCTAGTTTTGTGTCTAGTTTACGTTTAAGTTTTGGCTCTGCAATAAATACAAGAAAATACATACGACGACTATATATTTTTCTATAATTTGTTTCATTTTTGATTATTTTCGAACGATGGAATTAAGAAACTAAAACTAAAACATTTCTAAAACCAAAATAAAAATTAATTGCTAAAATTAAGCGCAAAGTTCAATTAATACAAATTAGAATTTTAATATCAACATCATTTGGAATATTTATATATACACAAAATATATATATGTATATATATATACATATATACAACTCGATATATGAATAATTAGTAAAAACAAATCAAATCAATTTCCATAACAAGAGATGAGAATATTCTTAGTAACGAGTGCGGCAACAGACACTCGTGCAATTGTACTTTAAAATTGAATTAAATTCAAAAAAACACAATGAAAAATAATATAAAAAAAAAAAAAGAAAAAAACAACAGAAGGAAGGGAAAGAAAGCCAGAGAATAGCATAAATTAAAGAGAAGGAGCGGAGTTGAATGCCCAGGAGAGCGGCACCTTCTCAAGCCCGAAGGCTGGGTGGCACAGGGCTGGCTGCCTTCAGCCTTTAAAAGAGCCACAGCCACAGACAGACAGGCACAAAACACACAAGCAGACACACGCAGATAAAACACCACACGCGAGCAGAGTTTGTCTTGGCAAACAAACAGAGCAGAGAGTGAGATGAGTGTTGGCCAGATCGTGATAGCAATAGAAAAAGGTTAAAGCTGAAGCGAGAGAAGAACACCGAGAACAAAAAGAGAGAGTCATTGCAACAGCGAGACCGAAAACAAGATCCATGCCAATGAGCTTTGAGCAAGAGGGTCAGCGAGAGATGATTCCAGAGCGAAGGGAAAACAAAGAGCGAGTGCCTGGGCACTGGCGAGTTGTCACAGCATGAAGCTTGAGCGAGAGTCAAAGCTAAAATGAGATATAAGAAACAGAACGAGAGCCGAGGCAAGAGCGAGATGTAAAAAAAGAGCGAGAGCCAAAGCAACAGCAGCAGCGAGAACCAAATGAATGATTGATTGGCGGCTGTGTCGTGAATTGGGAGCAGTAATTGCAACAATAATTCCAGGCATATCGAAGCATTTTTAGTAAAACAAAAAACCCCTCGGACGACAGCAATCAGTGAAGCGGCACACAAAACTGACGGCAATAACAAATAAAAGTTTAGTACTTAAAAACTAATACAATAACCCATACAAATACAAATACAAATATACTCGTAAATACCAACTTTAACAGCAACCGATGATGTGAACTTCAAAAACGGAACCAGAAGAGAGCGAAGACAAACACGAAGGAAGAAAGCCCACAGAGAACACAGAGACAGAGACACAGACACACAGACACGGAAGACAAGAGACACACAAGCCACGAAACATAAAACACACCAGACAAAATGGATAATTACTTAATGCGGGATTCACATATGTATATTCAAAAAGCAATAATGAAGATATATTTCCAAATAGTACTATGATAAAAACCAAAACAAAAACAAAGAAAACGCCCAAAAGAAAATTCGAAAAAAACTAACATGAATATAATATTTATACATAATATATTTTAATTATAGTTACAAATTAGCATATATATAATTATACATAAATAAAACAAATATATACATATATATATATACATATATGTATGTGTGTATATATATATATATATATGAATATATGAATATATATAGTCCAAATAAATTAGCAAGCAAAAACGTGAAAAACGAAATAAAAGTTTAATATTTACAAAATATTAAAATATCAATGTGCAATTTAAAAAGCGTTTAAAACAAAACAACAAACAGACACACACACACAACTAATACACCTATATATACACACACACATATAGAAGGATATAAACATTATATATATATAACAGATCTACACATTTATTTAAACAAATGAAACGAAGAACAAAACTTAGTGGCGACAACAATTTACATAGCACACAGATCCACAGCTAAAAACCTACATAAAAAAAATCAAAAATTAATAAAAATAAACAAGAAAATAAACCCAAAAAAAGACCGTGCTAAATGCTAACTATAACAAAAAACACACGGTTCAAGTCAAGTTTTTGAGCAAATACTCATAATTGTTAAAAATGTTTAAATAAAGTAATAATAATAATAATGAAAAAAACAAAAACAAAAATGGGAAAAATGGAAGAAAAATCCATAACAAATTGCATATTACATATATTTTTTCTCTCCTTAGAAAATTTAGTTAAAAAGAAAAGAATTACATTTAAGTGTTAGTCTTATATATAAAAAATAAATCTATATAAAAATTGAAAGACAACAAAAGAGAAAATCATGGAATGTGCCGACGAATGACGTGTGTGTGCAACGCAGAAAAAAGCAAAATGCATAGAAAATCCGCAAAAAACAAAGAAAGATAAAACTTAAATTAAGAACTTAGATTTGCCTTTGTGTTTAATATCAAGTGTGTTCTCTTATTATCATCATTATTACATATAATTTCAGTTCATTTCCAATTGGTCAGACATGAAATGATTTACTTACGTATTGATTGAGAAATAAAAATTATTAAACGAAAAGAAAAACATCCAAGAAAAGTCTTTTAATCTCTGTGAGTCTTGTGTGGGAGGGTTCTAGGTCTCGTTTTACGCACGGTTTCCAAGGTCTTGAATCCAGTTTGAATCTTTTCTTATAAATAATCCCACTAATCATCCGTCCCATGTTTCGCTTTGCAGGAGGATAGCTTATCAGTATGGAACCGGACTGCCACTGATATGACCAGTACAACACGTATCCGTGATACGTTACGCAGGATATTAAATATACCTATAACAACTACAATGGAGTATAAGATACACTGTGATAGCCTTAAATATGTTTCAAAGTAAGTACATATATCGGCCCGTCTGTTAGGTCTTTCCATAACTCCACTTTCAAACCTAAGGATTAGTAGAATGCATAAATATATTGCGGTTACGGAAGATATATACATAACTTGTAAACGCGTTTTCGATTTTGATAATTATCCAGCAGTTGAACTGCTTTACGAGTCATAAGCAGTCGATAAATCCAAGAAGCAGTATATTTCAAATGCAAGCAGTTAATTTTTCAAGTAGAGACCAGTCGAGAAAGCAGTCGAGCATCGACTGGAAGATCTATAATCTCCAATCTAATTTCTAATTTTGTTATCCAATCAGTTACTAGAATTTATAGAATAGATCATGTGCCTAAACAGTTCATTATGATCCAATGTCTATTTGTTACCTATGATGGGGAGATATTGTAAACCCTCTGGTTATGTTTCTTATATGTACATTGAACATACATATTTACAATACATTGTTTCAACTGAAAACTTATATAACAAACGATATCACCCACCCGTACCATACTCAGGGCATGCAGGCAATGTCAAGTCCTTCCACGTCGATCTTGTTATTTATTTCAATTTTATACCTTTTATGGATCGCCCAATCGACCAACTCGACCCAATGACTCTCGTTCATTTGATGGATGCCGCTATAGAGAATGATTCTTCTTCTCAAGATATACATATATTTTAAATGGGAATTTACTAAATTTTCAAACTATATTTTCTTATATTGCAGTAATAAAGGCACATTGAAAAGCTGAAATTCAATGAATAACTATAAACCACAAAAGAGAAACAAAAACAATAATTTTACAAACAGATAATACAAGTCACTAGTAAACGAACCAGCAAAGACAACAGCAATAGTATCAAAAGCTACGAACACACACCAGACCACACCACACCACACCACACCGCCCCTACAGTGAGTGAGTGAGCCTCAGGATCAGGAGGATCATCATCATAACATCTGGATGCACTTCGGAGCTCCTCACCATCACCACGGAATCCCCATGAACAGCATGACAAATTATATTTAAGCGCTAATAAGACAAATCTTTGTATTTTTAAATGAGACCTTACAAAGTGTGTGTATATATGAAACGCAATGAATATTTTAGTTTGTATGTATAAAGTTTTAAATTAGGCCTTCATTCCCTCAATTAAAGATCAAAGTTTTACATTCGACACTCCCTTTATTTCAAAAAAGATTGCTTCCCACAGACATGACACGAAACGACACATATTCTCATGCCTTGTATTGTAGCCTTATATCGATTGTAGTAACCAATAATCATAGCCATCAGAATCCGTTCCGTTCCCTTGCCACAGAAACAGCAACACACACATCCAAAAGCACACCCACTAGCTGATACTGTATTCATCTGTTTGCAATGATTATTTTACAATTACTGATAAACACCGAAACTGAGTAATCAAATTGTTTGTTTTTGTTCTTGAAGAAATACACAAAAAGTTTTTTACATGAAGAAAAAGAAAAGAAAAAAGAGAAAACTTAAAAGCAAAAAACCCAGTTGTTTTACATATACTTTTACCCATCACCTACAGACGCATCCAACCTACATGTATATGCCTACACATCTACAGTTCAACTATCTTTCGTTCCCAAAAACTTCCTCCTTCGTGGAGAGCAAGACGCCCAATAAAGGAAACTATTAAAGTTGCAGACACTATTTTTGAAATACCTCTGAAAATAATTATTTTGATTGGTTTAAGTAAGTATTGAAACAAGTCCACACAATGTTTTGAGGCAGTCCGAGAATTGTGTGTGATGTGTAATGTGGATTCTGTTCATCAGCGAGAACTCTGATCATTAAATTTGTCCCAAGAATAAATGAGAGAATTAAAAATCTTCTATATTATAGACCTTATATCGATCGAATTCTGAAACCCCGAAATAATTACATGTTTACTGGCTTTATTATTGGAAATTCGCGACCGGTAGTGCCTATAATTAATATCTTATATTTAATGTTAGCCAAAATATGTTCGCTAGTTGTCCTCGTAGATGGTCAAATCCATAATATAGACATTTGATATAAGACAATCTCCCTCCTGCAAAAGAAAACAAAAAGTACCATGCAATATAGTAAATCATGAAGAGAGTCAAGTCAGTTTGGAAAGTATTCAGTACTCACCGCTGGCGTGATGCCCACAAGGGCATCCGCATGGCCGTAGAACTCTTCCTTGAGGGATATGACAATCGTCTGCAGATTCGTGGTGTGATCCCTTATGTACGAGGCAACCTTGCCAATATTTGTGTTGTCCAAGGCGGCATCGATCTCGTCGAGCACAAAAAACGGCGCTGGTTGATAGCTAAGCAGAGAAGATTAATCAAATTGCAAGTCGGAAGAGATCAATGGATTGCCGCTCAGGGCTTACCTGTGGGTGGAGAAGAGTAGTGCCAAAGCAGCAATGGTTTTTTCACCGCCACTCAAGTTGCTCATCGGCTGGAAACGTTTGCCTGGTGCCACGCAATTGTAATTGATGCCATCCAGATAGGGTTCTTCGGGATTATCGGGTCCGATGTAGGCCTGGGCCGCTTCGTTGCGAGCCAGTTTCTTGTAAATCCCATCGATGGCATCGGAGATGTGCTGACAGCATTGAACAAACCGAGAGGAGCGCTCGTTCTTCACCTTTTCGAAGTTTGCCTTGGCCTTTTTGGCCTTTCGTCGGGCATTCTCGAACTCCTCGTTGGTGGATTGAACTTTCTCCGTGACGGCATCGAGCTTCTGCATTGCCTTCATATTTGGTGTCTGTATGCGCTCCAGGACATCCAGCTTACCCTGCAGATCCTTCTGTAGCTGTTCATTGGCCTTTTTGAAGGCGGAATCATCCTTAAGTTTGGTAAATTCGCGGGGCAGCGATCGGTAGTCGACTTCAATACTAAAACAAGCACACACGATTTGAATCAATTTTACCAGAAAATAGGAATGTATCCACTTACAGATTATCCATCGTCATGGACATGGTGCTATTGTCCGCGTCGCTACCGCGCACTGCATCGTCCAGCGAGCCACGCAACAAGGGAACCACAATACAATCGGTCTGTGGTGGGATTAAAAATATAATTGAATTGTTTAAATGAATTGAAATGCTTTCATTTTGTCACTCACTTTGGCCTGCAACAGTATATTCTGGCGTTCGTTCTTCTTGGCCTCAATCTTCGACTCTACGGAGGACATTTGGCTGCCAACGTTGTGTATTTCTTTGGCCAAGTTGGCCACGTCTCGACGAGCCTTGGAGATGTCCTCTTCCATATCGTCGACCGCCTGCTTCTTGGACTGCTTATCCTGCTTGAACTTTTCCATCTTGTCCTTGTCCTCATCGATTTCTTTGAGATAGCGCGCCTCTGCCGTCTTGAGGCCCTCCAAGGCATCCTCCTCATCCTGAACGCTTCTCTCCCAACGCTCAACGTTCTCTGTGAACCAAAACATTAGATGGAGTACTTGATTTTAAATGTGAAATACATGCTTCGAGTGTCCTTTTGCTTCTCAAAGTCCAGCTGAGAGTTAATCGCATCGACCTGCTGCTCGAATTCGGCCCGTTTCCGTGCCCTTTCCTGCTGCATGACCAGCTCGCGCTCTTCGTACTGGCGAATATTCTTCACACCCAGGCGGCGGCAGAAGGCGGTAAATACTTTGTCCTCCACATTGTTCATGTTCTCCTTGATCTCCTGGATGTGCTCCTCGCGATTCTGCATACGTCGCTCGATTTCACTGATTTTTGGCTACAAAAGAAACGGACACTATAATGCAAAACAGTTCAAACCCAGAGGACAAGTGGGGCGCATCAACTTACACCAAAATCATCCAGTTGGCTTTGCACTTGGGCCAGTTGATTGTCGTATTGACCAATTGATTTCTTGGATGACTCCAAGTCGACCATACTATACTTGAGGCGGTTTTCCAGGCCCTTGATCTGCGACTCCACCGTCGCCAGCTCGCTCTGTTTGCGTGACTTCTTCACCAGCTCCTTGAGCTCCTCGTTGAGTCGCTCTTTTTGCATCTTAAGCTGTGCCATGTGCTTCTCATCCCAACGCTTCGCCTTGCGCGCCAGATCGTGGCTGCCTCCGGAGATGAGGCCAGACTTTTGATAGAATGTTCCGTCCAAGGCGAGGGCATCGAAGCGCGATCGATCGATCTCGTAGGCCACCTTCATGGCATCCTCGGGCGTCTCACACACCAAAGCGTTGCCGGTGGCAAACAGCACGGCGCGTTCAATCTCCTGAGGCTCGAACTTCAGCACATCGAAAACCAGTCGCACGTTGCGCGGCTCGCTGATGTTGCGCAGGCGCTCTTTCAGGGGCTTCACTTGTAGGTAATCAAGCGGCAGAAAGGTCTCAACCTCCAGCATTTGTTCTTTCAATATCTGCAAAGGAAAAGGCTGTCAATAAATAGATTTCCTTAAGAGGGGGTTCCAATGGATGCAAACCTGAATGCAATGGCGCGCCGTCTTCTCTGAGTCCACAATGATGGCTTCCATGAACTTGCCCAGAACTTTGGTGACGGCCACGTTGTAGCGTTTGTGGGTGGGCTGACACATGTTGATCATGCGATCATAGACGCCCGGCACCTGCTTCTTGAAGAGCTCCACGACCTCTTGTTTCTTCTTGCGCCGCGCATCCTCGTGCTTGTCGCCCTTCGCGTCGCCCAATTGTTCACGCACATTCTCCAGCTCACGTTGCTTTTCGGCAATCTTCTCCTTAGAGCTGCCCACATCTCGGCGCAGTTCGTCCTTGATGCGATTCTGTTCTTCGAGGGCTGCCTGCGAGGATTTGATGTGATCCATGAGCTTGTCTCGTCGCTTGACTGCCTCTTCGCGCTGTAATGTCAGTTTCTTGAAGGACTCCTCGACGGAGGCTCTGCGGTTCGTTTCGCCATCAAGTGTGTCCTGCTCGGATTTCTGCTCACGATTCACCGAATCCAACTCTGAGCGATACTGTGTGGCTGTGGCCTCGGCCTCCTGCTTCAGCCGGTCGTACTCCTGCACGAGACCCTCCTCCATGTTCACACTCTTGCCGCGGCGCTGCGACTCGTTCTCGATCTCGTCCTCAAAACGCTTTTTCAACTCCTCGATATCGGCCAATTGCTTCTCCAGCTTTCGGATGTCCTGCTGGTGGGCGTTGTCCGCCTCGCGAGCCGTCTCCAGGGTCTTTTGCAACGAAATCAGTTTCTTCTTACAATGGGAGACCTTCTCCTTGGCCTTGATGTACAGCGGTCGTCGTTTGTTCATTTGAGTTTCGAATTCGCGAATCTCCTGATCTATTTTCGCCAAATCGCGTGTAATTTTTCCAGCGTCTTTCTTCCTCTCGCGCAGCACTTCGTCGGCGGCTTCCTTGCGCTGCTCGACGGCCTTTACTTCTAGTTGCTTCACCTCCATGTCGGCTATATACTTTTGGATATCCTTCTCCACGTGGAACAGACGAAACAGTTGATACTCCACTTGTTTGTCGTTCTGAAAGGTACAATATTTATGTCAGACAAGAAGTTTGAGGCTCTTTGGATGCGTACATATTCATTCTGTAGACGTGTATAGCGCTCGGCTTCCATTTTCTCGTGTTTGGCCTCTTTACGCTCGGCTGCTATGCCCTTCTTCTTTTGGTAGGTAAACTGAGTCTCCTCCTCGGCCACTATCATTTCCTGCTTCAAGCGATTGTAGTCATCCTTCAGCAGGCCGGAACTACCGAAAGAAACAACAACAGTTACGGAATTAGAGATACCTGAAAAGACGGTAACCTACCCACTGATCTCCTCAAACAATGCTGTGCGCTCTTTTGGTGTCTTCATGGCAATGTTCTCGACAGCTCCCTGGAAGACCAGAAAGTTCTTTGCCTTCACATTAATCCCAATCTTTTCCAGCTTGTTCAGGTATGTGCTACTTGAAACGCTCTGAAGTTACAATGAGATTAGCCATTATTCATATGGATAAATGCTGAGGGGGTTTCTTTCACTTAAGTACCTCTCCATTGATACGGTATTCGGAGGAGCCACTGATGACAGCGCGCTGGAAGTCCATATGCTTCTCCTCGTTCAATATAAACTTTGCCGTCACGTAGCAGCTTCGGGCCACTGGCTTGCCAATGGAGGAGCCGTGTATCAGATCGTTCAGACGCTTTACGCGAAGGCTTGAGGTCTTCTCCCCCATCACAAAACTGATGGCGTCCATGAAGTTAGACTTGCCCGAGCCATTGGGTCCAATAACAGCGTTAAACTGCTTCAGAGGACCCACAACAATGTGGCCGCGGTAGGACTTGAAGTTTTCCATCTCAATCGACTCCAGAAACGCAGTCTCGTCATCTGGCTTACGCACCGGAGGCGCTGCCACTCTGTGGGTGACCTCATCGTCCTCGTCGGCCATATTTTCAATTCAATTAATTAATTAATTAAATTAATTAAAATTATCCACGAAAAATAACAAATAAAGCGCGAAATTAATGTTTTTTCGCTAGAGATGTGCAAAGTACAGTTCGCTGTGTTCGATAGTTCGCTGTGAATGGTAAATATCGCTACGCCCGTTATGGTCGTTTTCCACTACACTTTGACCCAGACGGCAATGTCGACCCCAGGGCTGGGTAGTTCCCCTTGCCCGCCAAATATAGACAAAAAAGGAGACATACTACTTCTCGGGACATCAAAACTAACAACAACAAAGAAAATCATAAACAGACGGCTATCAAGTGGGTGAAGCTTGGGTGTTATCACTTCGCGCGCCCGCCCTACCTGTGACCAAACACAACGTTCATTTTGGCTACCCTCTGCTGGAACGGTAACGGCTGGCCTAATCCATGGCTTACGCCACGCGTCCTCCCTCTATTTTAAATTTAATGCATCATACTTCAATATATATCCAAGCTTTAATAATTATAAATTGACAATTTCATCTTTCTCATTAATAAATAGCTATACTCAGAATTATCACTAACCAAAAAGAAACACCAAAACGTTCGACACTAAGGCAAACACGGAAATAACTGCTGAAATTTCGTTTAACCAACAGGGATACCCTCACCCATTCGTAATGGAGTATGTGTAGATGAGTGGATCCAGTCTTACGGGAGTTAATTTAACTCGGGCCCCTACGGAGACTTAACCTACCAAGAGCTCTTGTTAAGGGTCCCCGGGACATAAACAATAAACAATATTTTCCACAAATCGCTCGACCAAATACGGTGGACTGATGGGACCCCCGCGTAACCCGCTAAGGGTTAATCTTCTGGAACTGACCAGCTGATCGCAGATTTAGGTTCGTGAAAGGTGTTGGTGTTTTTACATATCATATTTTTTTTCAATGGCCAAGATTTTACGTTAAACGTTTTAAGCTAATACTAAATACAGAATAAAGGACAACACACGGAACAAAATAACATTTAATGTGGAACGGTGTTTGGAGTGTTTAAGTTCAATAACGTGGGCGATCGCTGGCCGTGGCCGGTCAGCCCTAAATTTATCTAGGTCCGTGTATACGTGTGCGCGTGTGTGCGTGTGTGAATAGGGTTTCGGGGTTTTTACTTGGTAAAAGAGACCAAACGTGTGGCACGCACTGGACGGCGATGCAACGATCGTGCGGTGTGGCTAGAATCGCCCTGGCAGCTCACTCGTCCTCTTTCACCCTCCCCCTTCACACGTCCCGCGCTACTTGGCTCACACACGCGCAACTGGAACGAACTCACTCAGGTCCCGTTGTACAGTCTTCTTCTCTGCAGTCGACTTTCTCGGACTCCAGTGTTCCTCTCCAGGAAATCTTCTGGCCCGGTTCTGAAGGCTATATTCCTTGCCGGCTGTTTGTAAAATTTTCTGCATTACAACCTATTTTATCGCCCGCCTTTTCTGTACTCACTTCACTCTGTCTGTTTTATTCACAAAATTTCAGATCTCGACGTTACTCCGTCCACGCTCCACGATTTCCATAATCCAATCCACGTTTTCTAATATTTTCACTCCTATTTATCCCTTTTTCCCTTACTAATAATAAAACTAATCCTATTCTCTTCCTTATATCCCCAGTAACGGCTCCAGCTCCCCCCGATGTCCCCTTACACCATCGAGCCTCCCTGGACTTCCGCTAGATGGCGCGTCGCCCTCAGCCCTGGCCACCTATCGTTCAGGTGGGACTGGAACAATTATTCGAATAAATAATTATTATTTATTAGGGGAAAAACATGCTTCGAATTTGCGGTATACGAATCAATTGTGTACACAGAATCCTCAAAAACACTCATTGATGTCAGAACCGAAAGAAGCTAGCGAAACTGGAGAGATATCCGGCATCATCAACAATACACCAAAATCACCGCTCAGTTCTATAACCAATTTGGATACTAGTAACTCTCGATTCATAATTTTCTCATGTCGCGATTGGCAGAAGCATGAGCAGCAATAAGCTCTTAACAATTAACAACAAATCTCTGTTTTCATTAGGAATAAATCAACAATTTATTAAACCAAATTCACTAAACTAAACTAAAATAATTTATATTAATATTTGGCTGAGATTGAACTAATACTGAGTTATGTGTAGATTATGACTAGATTTAGTCGACCTCCTCGACTGTGGGTCCATTGTAGCCACCGTTGGCGAAGCCTCCGGCGTGCTGGCCGCAGTTGGGGGCCTGCGTACCATCTCCGGTACCTCCCTGCTGATGCATCTTCGTCATGATGGGGCTGCAGAACTGGGTGAGCTCCTTCAGCTTGTACTCATACTCCTCCTTGTCGGCGGTTGTGTTGCCGTCGAGCCACTTGATGATCTCGCTGCACTTCTCGAGCACACTGCTCTTGTCCGACTGGCTGATCCTGTCGCCCCCATTGTCGGCGGCCTCCTTCACGCCGAACACGTAGCTCTCCAGCTGGTTGCGGGCAGCGATCCTTTGGCGGTGCTTCTCGTCCTCCTCGGCGTACTGCTCGGCCTCGCTGAGCATGCGATCGATGTCGGCCTGCGAAAGGCGACCCTTGTCGTTCTTGATGGTGATGTTCTTGGCATTGCCAGTGCCCATTTCTTTGGCCGTGACGTTGAGAATGCCGTTGGCGTCCAGGTCGAAGGTGACCTCAATCTTGGGGACGCCGCGGGGTGCCGGAGGGATGGCCGTGAGGTTGAAGGTTCCCAGCACATTGTTGTCCTTCGTCAAGGCACGCTCGCCCTCAAACACCTGCACAGTTACGGCAGGCTGGTTGTCTGCGTAGGTGGTGAAGGTCTTTGATTGCTTGCACGGGATGCGGCTGTTGCGCTCGATCAGCTTGGTCATCACTCCGCCAGCGGTCTCGATGCCGAGGGAGAGCGGCGACACGTCCACGAGCAGCACGTCCTTGATCTGGCTGCTCTGGTCGCCGGACAGGATGGCAGCCTGGATTGCGGCGCCGTAGGCCACAGCCTCGTCTGGGTTGATGGACAGGTTGAGGCTCTTGCCATTGAAGAAGCTCTGCAGAAGGTTCTGCACCTTGGGAATGCGTGTTGATCCGCCCACCAGGACGATGTCGTCAATCTTGCTCTTGTCCATCTTGGCGTCGTTCAGGGCCTTCTCCACGGGCTGCAGGGTATTCCGGAAGAGGTCTCCGCATAGCTCCTCGAAGCGGGCACGGCTGACCTTTGTGTAGAAGTCGTGTCCCTCGAACAGGGCATCCACTTCGATGGTTGCCTCAGTGCTGGAAGACAGCGTTCGCTTGGCCCGCTCAGCTGCGGTGCGGAGACGGCGCAGGGCACGAGGATTGGAGCGCAAGTCCTTCTTGAACTTTCGCTTGAACTCCTCCGCCAGGTGGTTCACCAGTCTGTTGTCAAAGTCCTCGCCACCCAAGTGAGTGTCTCCGGCAGTGGCGCGCACCTCGAACAGCGATCCTTCGTCGATGGTCAGAATAGAGACATCAAAAGTGCCGCCACCCAGATCGAAGATCAGCACATTGCGCTCCCCCTTGAGATTCTTGTCCAGGCCATATGCCAGAGCTGCTGCCGTCGGCTCGTTGATGATGCGCAACACGTTGAGGCCGGCGATGGCTCCGGCATCTTTGGTGGCCTGGCGCTGGGAGTCGTTAAAGTACGCTGGCACTGTGATAACTGCGTCGCGCACTGAGGTGCCCAGGTACGCCTCGGCCGTCTCCTTCATCTTGACGAGCACCATCGAGCTGATTTCCTCCGGGGCAAAGCGCTTCACCTCGCCCTTGAACTCGACACTCATCTTTGGCTTGCCGCAGTCGTTGACCACCTTGAAGGGCCAGTGCTTCATGTCATCCTGGATCTTCGAGTCGTCGAACTTGCGCCCAATCAGGCGCTTGGCGTCGAACACACTGTTCTTCGGATTCATCGCCACCTGGTTCTTGGCGGCGTCTCCGATGAGGCGCTCCGAATCGGTGAATGCCACATAACTGGGCGTTGTGCGGTTGCCCTGATCGTTGGCGATTATTTCCACCTTTCCGTGCTGGAAGACACCGACGCACGAGTACGTGGTGCCCAAGTCAATGCCAATGGCCGGCATTTTCTGTGTGTGTGTGTGTGTGGCTTCTTCTGTATTTCTTTAACAATTTATTGTTGCCGGGCTGCTTCTGCAATCCCTCGTTTGCGATTTTTATTCTGTTGAATTTTACTTGTATTTCAATACTTTTATCTAATTTCTGGTTTCACTTTTACTTGTTGTGTAGAGTTTTCGGTTGTAACCGTCACTTTCGCTTGCTTTGCTTGTTGTGTTGTTGCTTGCTTGAATTGAAATGTGCAGGGGTAGCGAACGGCGCCGCTATTTATACTCCCGGCCAGTTTGAGATTCCCTTGCCAGAAGAGGGGAGAACGTTCGCGATGATTCGCGAAGTTTCGCGAGAGTGCGAGTGAGATAACCGTAGTGTCGAAAGAGGGGAATGTTGTGAAAAGTGAAAAACGTTCGCTATGCTACGAGAGAGTGCGAGAGAGATAACAAGAGCATGTGTACGGGGAAATGATGTGAACTGTAGGGTATGGAAAATTCAAGAATAATTAAGGGGAAGCGTTAACGTAGGTCAGTGCTGCCTCGCATATATTAAACAGCCGCACCAGTCTACTTTTAAAAATTAGGCTAATTTATCATCAAAACCGTTAACCGATATTGAGCAGATTTTCTGAGATTTTTTTAGATAGTTCGATATGTTAGAGAAAAAGTGAGGAAAAAGGTAAAGGTTAGGTTGCTGCGGTGACCGATATACCCGATACATAGTCAGTATGGCTACATTAAGCGACAATGTGTGCGTGCGGGAGACAGAAAACGTGTCTGAACATGTCGTCGGGCGCTGCATAGCCACTGCAAAATAATTTGTTCCTTTTGGCTATAAAAATGATCCGATCTGATCCAGATTCAGCAATCTCATAGATACGGTCATTCTCTATGATTGTGCGTTTTTAGTTTTCTCGTACCTTCAGTATTGTGGATGCC